TGCGTTGGCACCTCTTTGGTTTGACAGGCTTCAGATTCTTTTTTATGTAGGAGTACTGCTATTTATTCAGCCACTGATTAGCTGATTGAATTGTGCATGAACTTCACTATACCTTTTTTTCATTTTTTAAAATTTTATTTATTGATTCACCATGAGAGCAGTTATAAAGCTTTCAGGTTTAAGTCTCAGTCATACAATGAAACACCTGTACCTTCACCAGAGCCCATTCTCCACCACCAAAAACCCCAGTATACCCCCATCTCACACCCTCCTCCTACCTGTGGGGCAGATGATTTCCACATTACTCTCTCTCTACTTTGATTACATTCAATATTTTGACACCACACCCACCATTATTATTTGGTATTTTACCCCAACACTCAGATCTGCTGAAAAGGCAACAGTAGACAATTTGTTTTCTATTTCTGGTTATGAATAACATATGATGTCACATGGCTGCAGAGTGGCCGCATGATTTTGAAATTCTGAAATTATAACAATTAAATCTGGAGGGATTTCTTGCCAAAACCTGCTGGATTCTGAGATTTGTTCCTGAGTCTCTGGGATCATGGCCATTAAGCAGCTTGATCAGGAGCCAGAGAGGCCATTTGTGGGCGGCAACTTGGGATTTCGTTGGGATGGGCAGGAAAAGGCCGCTCCACCCCCATCCCGTGAAGCCCCGCGTATCTCATCACTGTGGGCCCAAACCTGACTGTCCAATTGCCTCTGGAGTATGGCAGCCACCAAGCTGCCAAGGAGGAGCAAGCGGAGGGACAGCACCCTTTCCCCCCTAGGGTGGACTGACTACAGTAACCTACCACGCAGTCTGGACGCATTTCTGCCAAAATCTACTAGGTTTCAAGATTTGTCTCTGAGTCTCTGGGATCATGGCCCTTAAGCAGCTTGATGAGGATCCAGAGAGGCCATTCATGGGCAGCGACTCGGGATCTCACTGGGATGGGGAGGAAAGGGCCAGCTCTACCCCCATCCTGTGAGGCCCCATGTGTTTTGTCACTGAGTGCCCAATCCTGACTGTCTAATGGCCTCTGGAGGATGGCGGCCACTGGGCCGCCAGGGGGAACAGGCCAAGGCACAAAACCTATTCCCACCTGGGGTGGCCCAGCACTGGTTACCTACTGCAGGGACCAGACGCATTTCTCCCAAAAGTCATTGGGTTTTGAAATTTGTTTCTGAGTCTCTGGGATCATGGCCATTAAGCAGCTTGATCAGGAGCCAGAGAGGCCATTCGTTGGTGGCAACTCGGGGTCTCATTGGGATGGGGAAGAAAGGGACAGCTCCACCCCCATCCCATGAGGCCCCGTGTGTCTGACACTGCTGGCCCAAACCTGACTGTCCAATGGCCTCTGGAAGATGGCAGCCACCAAGCCGCCTAGGGGAAGCAGGCAGAGGGACAGCACCCTTTCCTCCCTGGGGTGGCCCAATGACAGTAACCTACTGCACGGTCCGGACGCATTTCTGCCAAAAACCGCTGGGTTTTGAGATTTGTTTCTGAGTCTCTCGGATCATGGCTGTTAAGTAGATTGATCAAGAGCCAGAGAGGCCATTTGTGAGTGGCAATTAGGGTCTTGTTGCAACGGGGAGGAAAGAGGCTTTAGATTCTTAACTGGGGTTTTTGATCTTGGTTTCAGGGTATCGCTAAAAGTATTGTTCACCTCTTCAACCTGAAGGGCACCCATTCATTGCATCTGAGGCCAGCTCTATATTTTCCTCCTGCCTTCCACAAAATATATCAGGTGGTCTGTGGTCGTCAAAGTCCCAAGAAAAAGAAAAAATAGAAAAAAGAAAAGAAAACGTATTTGGGAAATACACAGAGAGAGAGTTTGGGACTTAAGGGAGTATTCAACCATTTCCAAAGTAGAGAGTGCCAAGTACACAATCCCAAGAAGACATGCATACAAATATCCAAGATGGAGAATGCACCAGAGAGCACAAGCTCAGGCAGAGATGCTGGCCACCTCTGGAGATGGGGAAATGCAGCCTTTTGCTCCTTCAAGTTACTTTATATACAGATTTCTCAAACTGATCCCTAAAGTCTCCTGCTAGGATGGTGACCAAGAGGCAGAGCTTGGATCTCTTGATGGTCTCCCTTGATATTCTTACTGTTCCTGAAGTCTGAGCCATTTCCCTCAGGGGATCCAGTCACTTTCTGGAAATGAAGTTCTGTTTCTTAAAGCTTTTCTGGGCTTCTCGAGCGTATCCTATAGTTCAAAGGCCTTCATCCCTCTATGCTGTTTTTAAATCTAAACAGTGTCTTCCCCTATATAAATTACCAATGCTCCCTTATTTGCCTACAACAAAATCCCTTATATCAAAAAGGTATAGTTATATTGAAGGATGACAAATGCGAATAATACAATAAATCGAGGTACTTAAAATTCACAAAGGCATCCGGGAGACTAATGCTCTAGGCCCTTAGAGTTGGAGTAAATGATTCTGAAGAATGTGGGGGCTTCCATCACCCTTCCCCACATAATGTGAGCAGGTCCAGGGCTTCCTACAAACTACATCACAGTTAAGAGGTTGTTATCAGTCAGAGTCTAATCAGGAGAGAGAAACCACCTAAGTCATTTAAAGAGGGAAAAACTGATATAAATAATTATTAACTAGTAAGAGGTAGTTTTCTACCAAAGAAAGCAAAGAAAACTCTAAAGAAAGCAAAGATTCTCTCTGGATAACAATCTATGTCAATGTCAGACGTGGCAATTAAAAGAGGAAAGACAGCAGGCCTTCTGATTGCACTGGCATCACATTTTAGGTTCAGAAAGAAAAGTACCCAGACTAGAAGACAAGTCATTTTCTCATCTTGAGGCAGGCGGACAGAAGGACTATGCAATAGAATTTCTGAGAAGTAATTACCCAATAACCTCGAAGCTGCAAAAATTAAGGCCTAAGCTTGTGGCAGAAAAGTGAATGGACTATGCATTAATCCACGGTACCCGGAAGGAAAGAGGTGTCCTTCCCTTCTGCCTTTTTCCCCCGGGCAGCAAGATGGCGGCCACCTTGGAGCTTTTTGGAAAGCCAGGTATGAGCCAGCGGTAATGGGGCAACTGAAACTTCATGGGAAGGGGGTGTTCCCAGCTCGTCCTTCACGCCCTACTGAGGTCACAAGTTGCCCCCCATGAGCGGCTCTCCAGAACAGTCATGGCTCCAGAGCCACAGAAACCAATCTTGTAATTATCTGGCTCTTGGCAGAAACACCTCCAGGCTTAATAAGTAAAATATCAGAAATCCAAAATCGCGTGGCCACGACATCATATGGTTCTCATAACCAGCTGTAGAAAACAAATTATTTCAATGCCTTTTCAGCAGTTCTGATTGTTGGGTGTAAACTCTAAATAATAATGGTGCATCTTTTGTCGAAATAATGAATGTAATCAAAGTAGAGTGTTATGTAGAATTCATCTGCCTCACAGGCATTAGGAGGGGTGGGAGGAAGGGTATATTGGGGTTCTTGGTGGTAAAAAATAAGTACTGGTGAAGGGAAATGTGTTTGATCATTGTATGACTGAGACTTAAATCTAAAAACTTTGTAACTTTTCCCACAGTGATTCAATAAATAAATATAAAAAAAATTAAGGCATAGGCCTGATAAGATCTTCATGTCCAAAGCCCAGACCAGGGTCAATATACTGTTCCCTAATAGCAGAGAGAACATACCTCCAGTAAACGTTTCTGGAGATGTAAGTCTTCAAAAGCTTCATTCCCTTTGTCCTCTGTAAACTTTTACTTGGCATTACAAAGCTTTCTGCAATTTACTCTGCACCTCAAAATTATCTTAGTGTGGAACTGAAGTGATAGTACAGTGGCTAAGACACTTGTCTTGCACACAGCCAGCCAGGTTTAATCCCTGGTAACCCATAGAGTCCTCTGACCCACATTAGATGTGATTTCTGAAAACAAGAGCCAAGAGCAAGCCCTGAGAACAGCCAGGTGTGACCCAAAGAAACAAGTAAACAAAATTCTCCTAGTCACATCTTCATTGGTAGCAGCTCTCTTGACATCTAACATTGATATTATTTTTGTTAATGGGAAAGCAGTTCCTGCACCTGAACTCCATAAATCAACAAAGCGTGAGTTTTTAATGTTAATTTGTTTATTTGTATGGGCTGGAGCGATAGCACAGTGGGTAGGGCATTTGCCTTGCACACAGCCAATATGGCCAAGCCATATTCCTCTGCCCCTCTCGGAGAGCCCAGCAAGCTACCAAGAGTATCTCGCCTGCACAGCAAAGCCTGGCAAGCTACCCATAGCGTATTCGATATGCCAAACACAGTAACAAGAAGAATCATGATGGAGATGTTACGGGCACACTAGAGCAAATCAATGAACAATGGGAGGACCATGAACAAAAAAATACTGCCATTAGAAAAATAGATGTTTCTCTCTTGCCAGAATAGAAGAGAAAATATGAGATTCTTCTTGAATTAAAAAAAATCCATTTATTATTTATTCCCAAGAAAAACTGAATGACCAACTTTTCTAGGCAGATCCCAGATCCCAAATATACAACTGAGGACCCACACTTTGTCTCAGTTTCTCTGAACAAATTCAAGCTGGATAGACTTAACTTCCTTTAATTCTGAGGAGTAATTAGGTAATCATATATTTGTTCAAAAGTATAAAATTCCCATACCTATTTTCATTAACAAAAATAATTATCTCAGGATGATATGCTATGTAGGGCATTTGCCTTGCATGTGGCCAACCAGGTTCAATCCCTGGCATTCCAATGGTCTCAAGAGTAATTCCTGAGTGCAGAGCCAGGAGTAAGCCCTGAGCATCGCTGGATGTGACCCAAAACGAAAAAAATCCGAAAAAGAAAAAAATCTCTCCTAGGAAAGTTATGTCTTCATCCAGAGCAAAAGAGCAAGACTGCAGTCACACAGGACTCACTCAGAGGCCTTTGGAATAGGGTCTACAGTTCCTAGAAGAGTCACCAGTAAGGGGAGGGACATTGATGGGGACATGACCTCAGGGTTTCAGTGGAGTAATGGAGATTTGGGCCCTGGGGGAGCACCATCAACACCAGAGTCTGAGCTCACAGGCTCCTCCTGAGAGAAAGAAAAACTCTTAACAGGGGGCTCAGGCCCACTCACCACGGAGCAGATGGACAGGGACACAGCTCCTGACTGAATCCTAAAGTACGGAAAGAGGGTCCCAGAGAAAGAAACATGAGAGAAGGAGTAAATGTGGGAGCCATCAGTCATGTTATAGAAGGAGATATCCCCTTCTTCAGGGTCCAGGAAAACCCCCAGTCTGTGGGGAAACTGACGAAGGGACAGAGGAGACAAAGGACTATTAGTAAAAGCATGAATTCCTTGTTCAGTATTCCCCACAACCCAGAACCCTTTGAGTGGAGACTCTTGGTACCAGACTGTCCTTTTCACATCTTCTCTACAGACCCCCAGAGCCCAAAAGCTTCTGTTTCCATTGCTGATTTCCACCTCCCAGCAGCATTTCCCTGATGTGATGACCTTAAGGCCTAAGATGCTCTGTGTGTCTAATGTTGAATCAGTGTCCTTCAAGGTCAGACTTGTATTCTTGTGAGAGATGACAATTCCAGGACTGGCAGAAGCTGGATCCAGAGTGATAGACCCTGAAGAGAGAAGCACCAATCATGCAAGGCCTTCAGCATAATCGGAGCATACAAAACCTCACCCCTTACACCTAGCTCCAAGTAATGGAGAAATTACTTGGAGCAAAGTGTAAGGTGAGATGAGGGGTTTGTAATACAAGTCTTCTAAGCAAGAAAAGGCACCACAAGATTGATTTAGGATTGGATGTTATATGTCACAAGGCAGAGACACAAAAATCTTGTAACCGAGTGGTTCCTGGCAGAAATGCCTCTGGACTTTGCATTAGGCCACATTCGCCAGACCACTCCAGATGGGAGCAGGTGCCACCCCTCCGCTTGTTCCAGGAATCCCGGCAGCCACCAACTTCCAGAACTCATTGGAAAATGCAGGTACACAGGAGGGTTACTCCATGGCTTGGAGGCCAGCCACACATGCTAAGGGAAAAGGCAGCTCAGATAGAGAAGGGAGCACCAAATAAAGGGTGTTGGGAGGATCCTCCCAGGATGGGAGAAGCATGCTGAAAGTAGACTATAGACCAAACATGATTGCCACTCAATGACTCTTTTGCAAACCACAACACCCAAAAGGAGAGAGAGAACAAAAGGGAATGCCCTGCCATAGAGGCAGGGTGGGATGGAGGGGATGGGTGTGGGAGGGATACTGGGATCCATGGTGATGGAAAATGGGCACTGGTGGAGGGATGGGTATTTGATCATTGTATAATCGAAATCCAAGCACAAAAATTTGTAAGTCTACAACTCTACCTCATGGTGTTTCACTAATAAAATTTTTTTTAAAAAAAGAAAGAAAATGCAGGTACAGGGCAGCAGTGACAGCAAATGTCAGGCCTCATGGGATGGGTGAGGAGACGTTCCTTCTCCCCCACCCCCACCCCACCTCAACGGGACCATGAGATGATGCCCACAAATGCCCCCAGCTACTTATTTACCTCCATAATGACCATGATCCCAGAGACACACAAGCGAATCTCAGAACTGAGTGGGTATTGGCAGAGATCTCTCCAGAACCTAATTATTAAAATTTTAGAATGCCAAGACCACATGGCCACGAAAGACATCATATGCTATTCATAACCAGCAATAAACAAATAGTTCAGCATTGCCTTTTTGGCAGATCTGAGTGTTGGGGGGAAATTCCAAATTATAATGGTGGGACTGGTGTCGAAATATTGAATGTAATCAAAGTAGAGAGAGAGTAATATGGAAATTATCTGCCATACAGACAGGGGTAGGGGTGGGAAGGGGGTATACTGGGGTTTTTGGTGGTGGAAATGTTCACTGATGAAGGGATGGGTGTTTGATCATTGTATGACTGAACATGAGACTCAAACATGAGAGCTTTATAACTATTCTCATGGTAATTCAATTAATAAAAATAAAATAAAATAAAAATATGTCAGTAACCCCTAAAGGATCAATGTGAATTCCATGAAGGAAATTTATTTAGCCTCCATATAAGACATACCTATCACCCACCTAGCACCTACCACCCACCACCACTGATAGTGGCAGCATCTGTGTCACCAAAGAGAGGTGAAGGGGAGAGAGACCAGAGTTGTGTGGGCAGCAACAGTAGGATCTCCCAGAAAGAACACGTAGTCACTCACAGGTCTGGAATATGTCCTTGCGCCAATCTGTAAGAAACACACCCACATGCATTCATGTCAGAGATTTGTATGCACTGCACACACCAGGTATTTTTCTGAAATATCATAATTAAGTAACAATAGGCACATTTTGAAAACATTCAACTGATTCTTTCATATACACCTTTGAAACATTATGTTCAATGCATGTACACACACACACACACACACACACACACACACACAAAGTTGTAATGTACCAATGTCCCCATAAAGGATAAGCCCAAAAGCTCAATACCCAGAGATTGAGAGATTTTATAAACATCTCTCAGTATGAAAACAGAAATGTGATTACAAAGATATAATTATCTATTTGTGTTAATCAGCACATAGACTTGTTTATCCTAAGAAGTAAATTTTCTTGGAAAAAAATAAGAGGTCAACATTTTTGAGGCCTCACTTTAGCTATAAAGAACTTAGAAAGATTGTTCTGGGTTTCTAAGTTTTCTCTAAACACTTACAACGTGACTGGGCTTCATTTAAATGATGATTGTAATCCATAAGTGAAGAAAACTCAGGATACAGTGAAAGATTTATCTTAACCACTTAAGAGAACAACTGAGGGGCTGGAGTGATAGCACAGCGAGTAGGGCATTTGCCTTGCACGCAGCGGATCTGGATTCGATTTCCAGCATCCCATATGGTTCCCTTGAGCACCGCCAGGGGTAATTCCTGAGTGCAGAGCCAGGAGTAACCCCTGTGCATCGCCAGGTGTAACCCAAAAAGCCACAAAAAAAAAAGAGGCAACTGAGAGGTTTCAAGGGAAGAAGAAAGGTTCAAAGCAAGGACACACACATATTCAGTGAAAGGAAAGACATTTGATTTATCTACCTCTTCAGTGAGGTGGTGGAGAGGGATAAAGTTCCCAGAGAGATAAGAGAGAACAAAATCAAACAAAACTAAATCTTGTCACTTTATTTCCCCTAGTCTTGCCCAGAAAGCTTCCAGGATAATCTGTGTCATAGTAGAACCCCAAACAATCCCAAGGTATGTGAAAAAAATGTTAATTTTATGAAAAATATAAATTTTACAGCTGTGACTAAAATTATGGGGCCAAAGAGATGAAAGACACATGTCGCAAGAGATAAACAACAGCACACTCTCACTAACACCAAATGATCCCCAAGCATAATCCTCAAGGACAAACTACCCCCACCCCCCACCTCCCAAGCAGAGGCCAGGTGGCCTGGGTAATCCCAGAACTGCAGAGCTCAAGAAGCTCAGCGTCCTTGGACACTCAATTGACCTGCTGCTCCGATTGGTTGAGAATGGCTGGGAGGAGACCCCAGTCTTCTGTGCACTGCTTAGGAGACCCAGAAGAAAAAATTACAAGATTATAAATATCGAGATGGAGACATCATTCTGAGTAATACAGAATTAAAACACAAGAATCCTTAAAAGCAAAATCATGACAAGGATTTGGTCAGACAACTAGATGTGACCCAGATGCAGAGTCAGAGGCTTCTGTGCTGCTGTTGTGAAGCTGATGAAAATGGGCCACAAACGAAGATGTCTTCTAGAAGGAAAAGACAAATGCCTCCAGGATGAAAAGGACTTAGGGACAGTAGTGGATTGGCACTTTGGTGGTGAATATGGTCAGTGGGTATGCCTTCTAATGCATAAATGTTGATCTTACTGTAAAGCATGATAAAAGGTATTTTAAAGTAAGGAGCCAAAGTGATAGGACAGGAGATAAGGCACTTTCCTTGCACGTGGTCCAATCTAGTTCAATCTCCAGCACTCATATGATCACTCAGCTCTGCTAGGAGTGATCTGGGATCAGAAAGTAAGGAGTAAGCCCTGAAAACTGCTGGACATGACCCAAAAAAGGAAAAAAAAGGAGGGAGGGGAAAATTACAATAGCCTCCAGAAACAGGACACAGCCCTAGCCACACTTTCATGGAATATGACTTCAGGGCAAGGAAATAGGAAATGTGTTTTGCTTTAAGCCACATAAGTGAATTCATAATGGTAGCAGAGAAAATACTAATATACCACTTATGCTACCTCCAACATGAAAAAAGATATATACCAGGGATATCTCTGGTTAGAGACAAGTGATCAGTCAAGGATTTCACATGGAGATCAAGTAGGCAGAACACTATAGTCCCCAAACAGCTATATGGGGCCTACCTCTATTCCCCAAAAACCAACCCAAATATCTTAATAAGCAGATCCAATAATTCTCCCAAGTGAGGATGTAAATGACAAAAGATAAAGAGGTATCTCTGTCCCACACTGACCAAGTGACACATAATCTCCTTTGGACTTCATAACCCACTTGGAAAGAATAAGTGATCACTGACCACTGCAAAGCTTATCATATGGCGTAGAATCCTGAAACGTCCTCTGTGGGGGAGTTGCTGCCTCCCAAGAACAAGAATAAAGAAAATAACATTTTTGCCACAATTTGTGAACAACTCCACTGAGATATGTTCATTCAGAGAAATTGTCATTTCTGTCTCCATTGCTTAGATAGATGCAAAAACAGTTGAACTAATCAAACTCAGTCTTTAATAAAAGCGAAATAAACTCTTAGAAACAATGAACCTACTTTATAGATACTACAAATTGACTACAGAAATCCAATGCATTTGTGTGTAAAAACTATGGGAGGAGAAAAAAATCAAAAAAACAAGGTATTTTCCAAGGGTATTTGCAAGTTCACCCTAACATGACCTTCGGTAGAGGAGAGTCAGAGAAGCCAGATCTATGCCCCAGTGACAGTCCCTACAGCCCTCATATGGAGCCTACAAAACTGATAGTGACTCCTTCCTTAGGTAAGAAGGAATCCTTGGCTGGGGTCCTTGAGTAGAGAAAAGGCAGAAATGAGAAGCCATAGGACACTTAGAGCACCTACCTGCATACATCCGGGCCTTCCTCCAGGCTGAAAGGGAACACATGGGTGAGAGCTTGGCCAACCAGCCTGCCAAGCCCAGGCTACAGTCCAGCACCCCACCCCACCCTCTTCTGACAGTTTGGGATCTTCAATCTCAGGGTGACAGAAGGGGAGGTGCTGGAGTGGGGGAGCTCCTAAATGTGCAGACACAGGTTAGGACACCGGTTAGAAAGCCTGCATGACAGGCTGGTCCCTCCACTGTCCTATTGTGATCAGCTGCTTTAGCTTCAAATTGTAAGAAATTCTTCTGCCACCTTTGTTCAGGTTTGCCACTAAGGCTTTGTAGATTATACTACATGTTCAAAAATTTAAGAGAATAAGACATTAACTGTTACATAATTATTATGCATTAAATTTTATGTTCAATTTTTCTCTTGAAAAGATACTAGATAAATAAAAGGGAAAATGATTAAGGCAAGAAATGAGGTGAGTTCTGGGGCAGTGAAATATTTCAGATAACAGCACTATTCTTCAGCCTTCGAACCACCATCCCACCATCCCATGCCTTCTGAGCCGAGTACCCAGCTATTTGACCTCACTACTTGATGGTCTCTTATCACTACTTGACCATCTTTCATCACTATTTGTCCATCACATCAGAGTCTACAGGGGACAGACTCTCCCTAGGTGTTGTTTTTGGGAAGGAGGGAGTCACACTCTTAAACTCAAAATGTCTCCCGCTTAGTTATATGGCTCCAGTAATGACCACATGTGTGTCCCCAGCACACACAGGGGGAGGAACACCCCGACACAGGTGGGAGAGGGGACACAGGGCACCTGGAGCATCACTCACCAGCCAAGTACTTAGTCTTCCTCTGGTCTGAAAGGCAACAGGAACAGGTGAGCTCAGAACCACAAGACCTCCAAGGAAAGGGGCTTGGGGAGTTGGAGAAAAGTAAAACTCACTTAAATTTGCCTGCAATTCACCTGAAAGAAAACGAAAGATAAAATCATGAACTCCCTTACGAAGAACAGAAAACTGTGGACCTGCTAAGCAAAAAGAATATCTATATCATGAAATTACACTCCAAACCCATTGGGGTCTGTGGGTGACTCCACCCTCTGGGGACTCCTGGGCCACTTGCTCTGTTATCCTGGAGTCAGAGCCCTGGACTCTGATCCACAGTCCTTGGGTCACTCTGGGCCTGGGCCTGTCCTGACTTACCTATGGCCTTCAGCGAAGCCTGCTTTGCCTGCTCATCCTCCTTCCTATCCTGGTGCAGCTTCTCTTGTTTCTGCCTCTCCTGCACCTTTATGGAACGTTCTCTCCAGGTGTAATAGGCAGCGCCAAGGACCAAGAACGTCAGCAAGGTCACACACACAACATAGGCCAGCTTCCATGGAGAGGTCTTCGCAAAGAAGGGCTCTGTGGCCCCCCAGAAGACCCCATTAGGGCACAACCAGGATAGCCGAGCCCAGCTCCCTGAGAAATTCCCGCCCCTCCCTCCAACTCTCCCACTCACACGGAGAGGAGAGCAGAGCCCACCTGGGATGAAAATGGCCATGGCCTTCTCCTGGTTCAGGATGGTGTTGAGGATGGAACAAGTCACATTCCCCACTGCGCTGTCTCTCACCACCAGCGCTGCCTCCACGCTGAACAGCCCCTCAGCGTCCTGGGACTTGGTCTCTGAGAAGGCCAGAAACTTCCCCCCGCTGGAGTCTTTCCACTTCACTTGGGGCTTGGGGAACCAGCCTGTCGCCCTGCACACCACGCGGACCCCGTCCTCCTCGGGCCCTGTGATGTGCACTTGAGGGGCAGAGCCCACACCTGCGGGGGAGAGGGAGGGTCCAGGAGGCTGGAACTGAGCAAGCACGCAAGCCCTGGAGCCAGTCACGCTGCGTCTGTGCTGTGTGGAAGGCTAAATTTGGAGGACTGGAGCAATAGCACAGTATATAGGATGTTTGCCTTGCATGCAGCTGACCCAGGTTCGATTCCCAGCATCCCATATGGTGCCCCGAGCACCACCAGGAGTAATTCCTGAGTGCAGAGCCAGGAGTAACCTCTGTGCATCACCGGGTGTGATCAAAAAAAAAAAAAAAAGAATTGTATCAATTCTTAATCAGCTGTGCCATTTTTCTACATTAAAATAAAATTTTTAAAGATTTTCTTGTCTCTGAGGTTCCTGTCTCCTTCAGCACTTAAGGATTCTAGAATGTCGATTGAGTCACCTACCTGCCACCTTCAGCTCCAAACTAGCCTCCTCATAGAAGTTTCCCTTTCTGAAGAAGCAAGTGTACTGTCCATTGTCTGCAGCCTGGACCTTGTGGATATGCACGGCAGCCTGCCCCTGGGAAAGGAGGTCCATCTCCAGTGAGGTCCGCCCCATGTACTGGGCCATCTGCTCCTCAGTCTCCTCCTGATGGTCTTGGTAGATGAACACAGCTTCGGAGAACTTGGAGCGGAACCACCTCAGCTCCATGTTCTCAACATTCATGACCGGGGACACACGACAGGGCAGTGTGATGTCGCTTCCCACCACGGCAATAATAGGATCCGAGGGGCCAATCACCAGGAACTCCTCTGTGGACACAGACATGGAAGTAAAAGGCTGGGAAACTGCATGCCCAGGGCAGGAGACACCCCCAGAGAGGAAGAGCCAAGAGAGTTGGAACAAGTCCTGATGAGAAGACCCCAGGTTGGAGGACTGGGTCCTGGGGGAGACATGGCAGCACAGCCGACTCACCTACAGACCCAGCGGTGGGCAGCTGCAGAAGAAGCAGGATGGTCAACAGACAGAGCACAGAGCAGGGTGAGCACTGCTCCATTTCTTTGGGGCTGGAAAGAGACAGAGAGAGGAGGCAGCCAGGACCAACAGGCAAGTCAGAGACCCCAGAGCTCTAGGCCTCACGAGTCTCAGGGCTGGGACACCCCCACAGGAGAGCATCTCCTGCTCCCTGTGAGGGAAGGGGTCCCACACAGCCTCATGCCAACTCAGACTCCTCCCAGCTCTCTGAGACCACGCACCACAGAGACTCAATGTTCAATGGGAAAACATATACTCCTGCCCTTCTCTCTCCTCCCTTTCTCTTCCCCTTTCCTCCCCTCTCCTCCTTTTCCCTTCCCTTCCCTACCCTCCCCTTCCTTCCCCTCTTCTCCCTTTCCCTCCCCTTCCCTTCCCTCCCCTCCCTTCCCCTTCCCTCCCTTTCCCTTTCCTTTTTTTCCCTTCCCTTCCCTTCCCTTCCCTTCCCTTCCCTTCCCTTCCCTTCCCTTCCCTTCCCTTCCCTCCCTAGCAGCATGCCCAGTGCACCCCACTCTACTCAGGACTTCTTGTCAGCACTTGGAACACAGAGGGAAAGCGTCCTCCATCTCCCCATTGTCACAAACCATCTGTGACTAAGGGCAGAAATCTGGACAGATCCTCACCATGAGGACAAACCAGCTCAGCTAGTGACTCTCACACCCCTAGTGTGAAAAGCCTCAGCACAGATAACACCGTTCTCAAGGCGATGCTCCTGTTGGCTTGTTCTGCTCACCTGCATTTTAGTCCCACCCCAGACCCTGGCGTGAGGGACCCAGGTCATGACCCTGCACTCCACTGAGCTGCCAGGTCACACCCAGCTGACACATGATTCCTTTTTCTCCTGCCTTTAAGGGGGATTTGTTCCTCAGGAAAGTTTCCCTGAGAGACAACAGAGAAGTAAAAAATGGATCCTGGTCAGAGAAAACACCCACAGACAACCTTCTGTGTGGAATCTGGGGAGCAGATGAGAGTCCCAGGAAGGACAGGTTCTGGGGGCTGATGGATCCCCCACTTTCTTGTCCACCTGAGTCAGGTTTCCTGACTTTCTTTGCCTCTTTTACAAAATAACAGCATCTCCCTCCCCTCTTCAAACCCAACATACCTGCTTCAAAGTCTCCTCAGTAGCGTTTCCAAACCCCAATACTTGAGAAGATTCAAGGAACCAGTAACTCCAAACTCTACCTGTAGACTTTCCACATGCAGTCAGCTGCTCAGAGCCCCAAACCTGCTTCTGGCTCCAAAACCGGGTATGCAGAGGCCCTCATGTCTGAGAGGCAGCTGGCTTCCAAGAGGGTGAAGCAGAATCAGATGCAGGTTTCTAGGTGTTTGTTGAGCCCAGCCTGGGCACCCCCTCAAATTAATTGTTCCCTGACACTGTTCTCTGGTTCCTTCCACTATTTGAAAGTGAAAGCCACAAAATGCTCTCCCAGGGGACTCTGCCCTGCCCCGTAGACAGGGCGCCTAGTTATCAGGGAGGAAAGAGCAGGACCAAGGCATCGAGGAGGGTTGGTCAGGTACTTTGAAACAACACTGTGAGGTCAGAGACACACACCCAGCTGAATAAGCACTATGCTCAGCTGGATTTACTTCGAGACTTCAGAGGACGAATTGTGTGGCCCAGGCAAGGCCAGTTCTGCCTCTGCAGAGCTGTCACGCTGCAGCTCCCAACCCAAGCTGACCCTCTGTCGGTGCCCTCTGCACAGGGCCTGTCTCACGGAAGGACTCAGGAGCTCCCCACAATCAGGCAATAAGTAAGGGGTTAACACAGCTGTCAGGAGCTTCCAGGTCCTGCCCCTGCTGTGCTGAATCAATAGTTCCTTAAGATGCCCCAACAGCATCTTAATGGTTTAACAACACACAGTCTGAGGACACTCAGATACTGTCCTTCCAGGCTCTGTAACCAGAAAATGTCTCTGTGGTCTCAAGGAAAACCATAAAGACCAGGCTTCCCCACCCCCACAACACCCAGTTCCTTGTAGCACTGTAGCACTGTCCTCCCATTGCTCATTGATTTGCTCAAGCGGGCCCAATAATGTCTCCATTGTGAGATTTGTTGTTAATGTGTTTGGCATATCAAATATGTCACAGGTAGCTTGCCAGGCTTTGCTGTGCAGGCAAGATACTCTCGGTAGCTTGCTGGGCTCTCTGAGAGGGGCGGAGGAATCGAACCTGGCTCCACCAGGCGAGCCACGAGCAAACGCCTTACCACTGGGCTATCCCTCCAGCCCCTTACTTCCTGCAAACCCTTCTTTTCATAAAGGAGACCTATGTTCACCCATTTATCCTTTTGAGAAATGTGAGGGCTGTTTCATGCACTTGACCCCCCATCTCCTTGTGTACTTTCAATCCATCAAGGCATTCAAGATTGTTTTCAAATTATTTTTCAAGTCAACACCAAGGTCCCAGCCCCCAATGAGAGTGGTGACCTGGCAAAGCAGTGGCCTTTCAGGGATGTCCCCATCCACTCCAGCCCTTCCTCATCAGGTTTTTTCTCCTCCTAAGCCCCTGGCATCCTCAACTCAGCTTAGATCTACTCACTCCCTTGTTTCCTCAAGGGGTTCCTCTGCTCGAACCCTTCTGGGCTCCTCTTCGACTGCTCCCATTACTGTCCCAGTGCTCCGTCCTGGCTCAGGTCACTTCTCCAATTCAAGGAGTTTCCCAGCCTCAGACCTTCTCACAAGCCCCCAGGGCCTGCTGCTGCCCCTCACTGACTCCCCACTGCTCTGTCTTAGAAAGTGCCCTTCTGTGGGGGACCTCTGCTCACACTCTGCCCCCTCCTCCCAATTGATACATGGTTGTCCGTTTGGGGGCTTTTCATTCACCACAGCCCTTAGGTATGTTCATGTGAGGAGCATCTGTGAGATCCACTGGAGGCGGCACTGTGAGCATCTGGTAATCACCCCACGAAGCCTCCCTGAGGTCTCTTCAGAGGCTTCGCTTCCACTGCTCATTGTTGCTCAGTTTTGTCCACACTCAAGAAACAATATTGTATACTGTGGGGTATGCTGTTAGCTGACCTAAATAAGCCAGTCCTGAATGGACAGTGTAGTGCATTATCTTCTGTGTTTTTCTCTCCCCCCACCCCCACCCCCAATCATCAGCGGGTCATGAATTACAGGATCAAAGAACTGGAAACAGTCTGTTCATCCATGTTCCTTGGCTCCCTCAAGCCTGGCCACTGCTCAGCATTCACAGGTACATGACTGGGTGAGTGGACACACTCTAGTGGGACACTAGTGGGACCCTCACCATAGTCTTCTGGGTTTCTATCATGATTATATTCATTTAATGAGGGAATCACTCAGTTTCAGAGCCCAGCACACTCTCTCAGCCTGTGTTCACTTTCACCTGCTTGAACTCACCTGGTGTATTTGTCTTTAAGGAACAAAGACTGGACCTCTGCTTGCTGCTTCCACCATCCCAGGTGAGTCTTGCCTCTGGCTCACCTCACTGGGCCTATTCTGTAATAGGAGGCAGAGCCCTGTTGGGGTCTTCTTCTGGCCTCAGTTTGGCGCATCCCCTCATCCAGCAAGAGGCCGCTGCTCAGGGCCCTGAGGACTGGGTCAATCTACCATTCCTATAAAGAGAGAGATCCGGGGAAAAGAGCTAGTCCCTATGCCACCGCCTTCAGAACTGAGAAATGAGTGCATGAGCACAGCAGGGGTCCTGTCAAGCAGTTTCAAATTTATTAAGCAACCAGTATGTCTTATATAGGCTTGGGAATACAGGGGGAAAATGCGGACAGTCATGTACTCACAGTGATCATACAGACATGTGTTTCATCACAGTTCTATAGATAGGGTAACATTTTCCCTGAGTAATCACAATGGCTAAACTGTCACCCGCACATCTGCCAGATACATCCTGTGCCATGGTGGCATTGACGTGTGACCATAAATGTGCATTGCAACAGGCTTCCTGAGTGGTCTGGGAACATCTGCCTGGGACTGAGCCCAAGGATTAGCATGGCACTTCGAAGCAGGTCAAAGGGGGCTTTTCTCCCAACAGAGCCCTTTCTTACTGGGTGGGTCCCAGCAACCTCCTGTGCTGTATGTTGAAGGGTGGAAGACACACCTGACAATGCTCAGTAGCTACTGCTGGCTCTGCACTCAAGAGTTACTCCTGGCAGTGTTTGGGGGACCATACATACGGATGCAAGGAGTCAAACTCAAGGCTTGTGCAAGGCAAGCATCTTCCCCACAGTACTATCGTTGCAGCCAAACATGCGCCATATTAAAGGTTCACATCACAGCTCCTAATGTAGATATGTTAACAGATCTACTCGACAAATTACGCACTGATCACAGTTAATTCTTTCTGTCATTCTGTGAGGATAGGCAGAGAACAAAGAGAGTAACCTTCAGCCTAATTCCTCAGGATCTTCAAGGAGGGCGTAACTATAAAGATTCACCCCCCAGCACAGCAAGAACACTAGAAAAACAATGGGGAAAACACATAGAAGTCCACCAGGGGGTATGGTGCCCAGAAGATCAACCTGTACCTGCAGGGTGAATGCATCAGCAGCCTGATGGTGCCTTCAGATTTCCTGATACCCCAAAATTGCCACTGTGCCTTTGGCCAGACCCCAACAACTTGGGGCTAAGTTTACCAGGAAATTAAATGCCAAAAGTTAGATATGTGGGAGTCACACCCACAAACCACCTCCGGTTCAGCTATACAAGCTCATTTATTGGCCTTATTTCAGAGACCCATAAATCATTATTTTTAGATTTTTTTAATTCTTATTTAAATCTTATTGGGCTGGAGCGATAGCACAGCGGTAGGGCGTTCGCCTTACAAGCGGCCAACATGGCCGACCCGAGTTCGATTCCTCCGCCCCTCTTGGAGAGCCCGGCAAGCTACCGAGAGTATCTCGCCCGCATGGCAGAGCCTGGCAAGCTCCCCGTGACGTATTCAATATGCCAGACACAGTAAAAACAAAGTCTCCAATGGAGACGTTACTGGGCCCGCTCGAGCCGTAATTCTTATTAGTGAAACACCATGAGGTATAGTTGTAGACTTACA